TTTCACCCTTTTTTTCAAATGGAAGAGGTGTCCTAAAATTTATGATATGGCTTCAAATTTGCTTCAAACTGACGTGTCGTTTTTCAATTTGAACTACGCATCGCCAAGCAATTTCATTTTACCGGACTACAAATAGTTTGTGGGAAAACTTGTTTGTATACAAATAAATATTAGTTGCCAATTTGACTTTATCTCCAGTGTTAGAAATCGCACGTTGAAAGATCAGACCTCAGAATAATCTTTAGTTCGCACAAATATAGACTACTGAAAGCTGTCTTTCGTGAAGGAGCGACAGCTGATTAACGAGAAAAACAGATTTGGGAACACAGTTGATGACGAATGTACCTTATGCAGTAATCCTCGACCTGATGGTCCACACAACTCTGCTGGAATGTTTGTTCGGATAATTGGAGTTCTTGGTGGAATGATGCACTCTTTTCTCTCAAATCTCGAGTTCATATAGACTTTCTATAGTTTATCCATTCCCAATTGGAACGGCAACAAAAATAAGAGTACAGTCATAAACATTTCTTGCCTGTGACCTCTAGTCGCCCAGATAGTTAGTAAACGTGCTATCAAATGTTGTTGAGGAGTAAAGGCTCGGCTAGCTGGACTGGCTGAATACTAATTTTTTGTCCGTTTCACAATATTTCCTTATCAGTGTCGTGTGTTAGTGTGGGGTTAGGTGAGGTAGTGAGTGGTTTTGCAAACCGATTTTTGAAAACTTTTTCTAGAGATCAATTACCCTGACAAAAAACTGATATTTTTGCACTCGACGCGCGTTTCGCTAACAAGGTTAGCATTTTCAGGAGGAAGGACTTTGACGACATGACGGAAGGAGGAGAAAAGAACTAGATTGTATTTCTATATTATTCAAATATTGATTAGCTATATCTTCATCAAGCGATTCAATTTGTGAAATTAATTTCAGTGGTTCTTCTTTGAAAAAATTTCTGAATGTCTCAGAGATTTCCTCAGGAGACTCGAATATTTCATTTTCATATTTTATGGAGGAGATTGATTGCTTGCGCGATTTATTAGTTAATTCATTCACTACACTCCATGCTGCCTTTGTAGGGTTGTCTGAATTATTTATTTTATGCTGAAAGTAATGTTTTTTGAGTTATGTACTAAGATTTCGTGCTTTTTCTCTTCTGCTTTGTAGAAATAATTCAATAGAGGATGTTGGCTTTTAAGCACAAACATGTCCTTTAATCGTATGCTGGACCTCTTAATATCGTCAGTAACCCATTTGCAGTTGGGCTGCTTCGTACGGTGATGTTTATATTATTTGACTTCAGGGAAATGTTTATCAAAATAGCACAGGAAAATTTCTAAAAAATATTGGTAGCAACAACAACAACAACAACAAATTTGGTAACAGCTACCTGAGGTCGTTATAAAGTTAGGTGAAAAATGAGTGGGTCTATTCGATCCTCCACCGCAACCCGCAAGGGTTTATTGTGGCTCACACCTATTCACACTCGACCAAATAAACCCAGCTTCCTTACGAAGCCGATTAGTTATTATGGTGAGTGGTCTTTAAGGTCAGATGGCAAGAGTACGGCTCTGCCGAACTCTAAAAACCTGATTCGGTCCCCAGCGGGGCAGGCACAAAGTATGTGATCTGCTGTTCCATCATTTTCCAGACAGAGGCGAGACACACTGTCTTCCGACAGTCCAAGTCTCTGCATATGATGATTCAACTGACAGTGACCTGTGAGAAGGCCTGTTAGACATCGTAGTTCTTCCCTACTGTAGTCCAACAACTTTTTGGTATCAAGCTTTGAAGATCCTTGCCATCCAGGTGTTATATGTATGTTTGGCAAAGCCTAAAGCGATGCCAATGCCAGGTACTGGTCCGATGAAGCTACTTGCACCCCCCTCTGCGACGTTATAAGAAGCTTGGTTCAGATAGCTTGCATTTTGGTGGAGCAAAGTTCTGGATGAAACCACAATCCTTAATATTTTTAACTCGTTCGCGGAGTATTTCATTTTTGATGCGGACTTGAAAAGTGGAGCTGGTGAGCTCTCTGTTCGTCTTAGATCCAAACATCATTATTATTATTTGCAGATGTAGAATCGCTTCTGCATAATTATGTTTATTAATTTTTTTCACAAACAGATTACAATCACTGATAAACAATCTGAAAAGCAAGGGCCTAAGGATATATTCTTTATTTTCCAACACTGAAAAAATATTTTTCCGTGAAGATTCATGATTCTATCCGGATTTTTTCATAGCGAGCGCTCTTATAGGATATCGAATTTGAATTAGTCGAGAGTTTCGGTAATGCGAACTGGGATACCCTTTTCCAATCAGCAAAGGGATCAAAACCATGATTTCTGTGGGCAAATTCGAACTGATGGTAATTAACTCAGAAGCGAGGTGAAATGCTCCAGGATGATGGATTCAATTTCAACACCATTATCATTGATTCTTGTCAAATTAGATCATCATCTTCCGATTCGAACGGCTGGAGACGAGATTTCATTTAATACCCTGGTGAAATGGGGCACAAATGGAAATCTAATACAGAGACTAATGGAATGAAAAAGTGTGTTCTCTTGTGCAGTGTTTGTGGTCCAGTCATCGAATGGTGAAAGAAGAATAGCCAATCGAAGAACCTACTGAGGTATGTGATTTGGACTATCATACCATACCAATAGTCCCCAACAACGGGGACTTTCCATCTGTTGTGTAGTTATTATCATGGATGAGAATGCCTTTTTTCAAGGACAAAACACAAGGCGCTCTAAGATCGGTGCCTGTGCGAAAGTAGTGATTTACAGTGGATTTAAATCGCTGGAGATTGAATCCATTTGGAATTCGTTTCACAAAAAAGCAGTTTTCCAAATGGAAGAGTTCTTGAACAGTAAAGTTCGGGGTGTACTGAGTTGCACCTAAAATCGATGAGCAGCCACAGTCCGTCGCGTATTTCTGATATGTACCGCTCTTGGTGGAATCGAATGTGCCAAGTCACTTGAACACTTTCCGTGAAGGTATCTAAAGAAGAGGGACAAATCCCCAACCAGACTATCAGGGCTGAAAGTGATGTTCGCGTCTCCAATTAAGCGGATGGCTCTTTTCTGGATGGGGTCCAGCAGCTTCAGGGTATGCTCAGGGGTGGAGCTCAGTATATGAGAACAATACTCCAAAGAAAGTCTGATCTGATGTTTATAAAACATAAAAAATTTCTAAGATGTATAAAGTTTTCTGGTTCGGAAAATTGATGCATCTCAATAGGAGTTTGTATCCCAAATCGTCCGTTCCACGTTCCACGGTTGTACTTCCCCCGACAACAGGGAGGCCGTGGACTTTTGAGTGTCTACATGACTGAATGGTACTGGATACAACCTGTAAGATCGTCAGGAGTTCGGATCCCCTTCTCTGCATGGTCCGTGACCATCAGAGAGCAGGAATTGGAGCATTTCTCTTTAGGGCAGCTGCCCGAGCTGATGAACTCGGTATAGTTTTCGACACTGAACGAGGTGACCACAACTCTGTAACCGAGTTGAAACCCGTTCAGCCAAAAGCTCAGATAAAAGCTGCAGTGACCACTTTACTTCTGTGGAGACACAAGGATAAGCCAATGCATGGAGTCTTCTTCAATAACATTGGAGACCTTGGCTTATCAAAGCGCCTGACGTTCGCTTTTCTCAGGTCGAGTGGGCTGAAGTCGAAAACTGAGGGGTTCATTATGGCTTGCCAGGATAGTGTCTTCAACACCTTAGTCTACCGCAGTCGCGTGATGGTTATAGAGGTTCCTGACACAAGGTGCAGGGCCTGCCGCGAGGCCCCCTCGAGACCCTAATGCAGTTGCTATCAGCATGTCCAGCATATGCGATCTCGGTCTATATCCATCGACATAACGCGGCTCTAAGAGTGCTATATTACCATCTACGGTACTCTTACGGTATTGACGAGACACCGGTGTTGCCTTACGCTCTGGGGGATATTGAATCAGTCGTGGGTAACCAGAAGTGCCGAATTTATTGGGACTATTTGTTCCCCACCCTCAGGCTCATATAAGCTAATAAGCCTGATGTAGTCCTTCTCGACCACCAGAGCAAAACGATATTTTTCGTGGAGTTTTCAGCTCCTGGCGTGACAAATATTGTCAGAAAAGAGAAGGAAAAACGGATAATATATCGATATTTTCTCTTCGAACTCCGCAGACTCTATCCAGATCACTCTGTCAAGATGGTTGTTTTAATTATTGGAGTCCTTGGTGGAATGATGTCCTCTCTACTCTCGAATCTTAAAATCATACCGGATTGCCGCACTAAGGCAGAAATCCTAACCGCACAGATGCAGAAGGCTGTCATTCTTGGCTCACTGACCCATTGATCAGTTACCCTACGGTGTGGGGAGTGGTCGTTGGTTGATAATGCTGGCGCGCCCTCCCGAATGTATCGGGGCTTCGGGAGATAGGGTCTGACCAGCGCATACTACGGTGGAAAAAAAAATAATGATAATATTTATTTCACTTGTTGAACAGTATGAAACCATTACGATAAACATATACACACAGTAACAAGAAAGACGTTCTATGTATACCTAAAATAAGTATATAAAACAACAACACATTATAGATACTCATCTTGATATATGAAGGTAATTAACAATTATTTATCGAGAGTAGCTATTAAAACTCGTCAACGGTGTAGCAGTTTCTTTCAGTTGTCTTTTGAGTATGCAAAAAATCGACTTTGGAGTGGGAATCAAATTATTTGGCAAAACAAAAAGATGTCGAGAAAAGCAGATAACAGCTTGGGAAAATGAGCAGTATAGATACATCAATATAGAAAAAATATGAGCAAATGATCATGCCAAGGCTGTATTTATACAGAATATATTTTATTCTTGGAAGTTCCTCAATTACGTAAAAAACACACGAAACAGTATTTTCGTTCCAAACAAAACCTAATAATACTCAAACCTCAATAAAATCTAAATAGATTCAACATCAGTTATGATTTTACTGAATTAGATTTAAAAAAAACTCGTGATAAGATAAAGAAGAACGACATATAAATGCTCACAGGATCATCTAACATTTCTCAGCGTTCTTGCATAAGTAATTCTGATGATTTGATACCAAGTAAGTATATACATTTTTTTTCTGTCATTATGATATCTATCCTATCAATATTCGCATATATTTTTTTCTGAATATGAATTCAATGATTTTCATTTGACGAAAAACTCAAAAAAATGCGGTAAATATATCGTTAGTATGAATATTGTTGTCTGACGAACTCATACACTGACACTGATTCTAAATTCAAGATGTCTAAAGTGGAACGATCTGAATGAATTGATCCACAATAAAAAACAATCAATGTACAAAAACTTTCCAGGTATCAGAAACCAATCACTTTAAAAAATTCAAAATGAAGTTGAAAAATATCTCTTTGGGCAGCAATAGTAAATAATTATATATGTGGGGAATAGAAAAGGTATGGGGAGGTGGATTTTAAACAAATAAAGGTTGAATTGCTTCATTTATCCACATCACATAATGAAATAATTGTATTATGAAGTTGTTATGTATTTAAGATTGAGATAAAAATAATACACAATGACTTTTACGACTAGGGTAATATAATGTCATAAAACAATGCATCTGTCAATAATTGCAGGAGGATAAAAATAAAATTTCACACGAAAGGTGCAGATATACGGGTGTTAGACAAAAAATATCAGATGATCAGCAATTTCAAGATGGATGTTTTCAAAACTGAAGCTTTGGTAATTACAAGCAAATTCAAATACTTCTTAAAAGCAATAAAGTATCTTTGAAGTAACGGGGAGTTATTCAACTCTATTTGGTCATTCAGTGAATTATTCGAATTCTTAAATCTATTGATTTCAAAACATTCTAGAAGATTGAGTTTCAAACTTTCCTCTTCTAAATGCAACACGTCGTATTCATGATTGAACTCATGTTGTTTTGTTAAAAGGTGGTTTGCAAATGTGGAGTTGGTCTTTCTATTCACAAAACTACTTCTGTCCTCTTTAATTCTTTGGGAAAATGTTCTCTCAAATTGGCCAATATATAGTTTTGAGCAAGGGCCACAAGTCAGCTTATATTCTCCTGATCTATTAGACAACGAGTTTTGCCTTTACTGTTTTCAATAAATTTATTTAGACTATTATTCGTTTTGTATACGCATTCTTTTTCTAAAAAACGGGTGATATTATTCACCCGTTTGACATATGATAATGTCCTATAGCTGACGTTATCACATCTGAAATTTGGGTAGAACTGGTCCATGGGTTGCTATTGTAGTTTTTTCGAAAGAATGGAGTCTATAATATCTGCCTCATTACCGTTGTTAACCGCGATTTGTTTGATCAAACTCAGCTTTCTCTGAAAATTACTCTCAGACATTCACAGACTATTGAATATTCCACTGTCTGAGAGTGATTTCCAGAGAGAGCTGAGTTTCATCAAACAAATTAGTCCAACTGTTATGTTGACTTCTGATTTTCGATGTTATTTTTGTAGTTCGATCAATTTGACATCAGGAGAAGACAATCAGTATAGATAATCTCCTAATGATGACAAATCTGTTGGTGGAACGAATGTGATATAAAGTGTTTTTACAGCTCAATGCTGGAATTTTTTTTAATTGATCTGTGATTTCTGTTCCAGATACATGATGCTGCTGTTACTACTTTTACCACTGTTCTCAATCCCATCAGCATATTCTAATTTCGCTGATGCTGAACCAAAGGTCTACAAAGGCTATCGCCTACCAGAGAACCAGTTACCTTCGAAGTATTCTCTATCACTGAAAGTGGGAAAGGAAATTTTCGATGGAAATTCCACTGAGTTTACAGGAACAGTGAACATTACTTTTACTATAACTGAAATAACCAAACAAATTCAGCTGCATTCGAATGTGACAATCAATAACTTACAACTGATTTCGGCAGCAGGTGTCATTCCAGCTTTGAACATAACCCCAATCGATGGGGTGGATATTTCAACAATCTTCTTCCAGGCAGAACTCAACATTTCAACAGAATATATATTGCAGATAAACTATAAGGGACAACTCGATATAACTAATATGAAAGGGTTTTACAGAAGTTCTTATGAAAATTCGAGTGGGGGAACTGAATATTTGGTTACCACGCAGCTCCAAGCTATTAATGCAAGAAACGTGTTTCCTTGTTTTGATGAACCTCACTATAAAGCAAAATTTGCTCTGAGGATCACCTATCCTAAAGGTTTCAATGCTATAAGCAATACTCCTCTGAATGGGGCAGTGATAAATGTAGAGTGAGTAACGTTTTACTTTTTCATTATCTTTAAAACGTTTACGAACGGAACAGAGTTGAGGATCGTTCATGAAAAAACTTTATGAAAAACGAAACTTGAGAATTGAATTATTTTTGTGGACAGCAGAACAGAAGTCCAATATTTCGACAATTCACCATTTTCAGGAAAAAACTTCAAAGAAAGTTATGTAAAATCAAAATTTTTAAAGTGAAAGAAATTTAGAGAAGTAACAAATGATATCCAAGTTTCACAAATGAAATATGTCAATGTGGATGAAAGGGTAGACTTCAGATGATTTTTTTTAAATAAATCATGTTTCCAATCGAAATGAAATATAGAGATTTTCTCCATAATATAAAAAAGCCGAGGCGCATGAAGAACCTCAACAAAATCCTAAGGTTTTGAAGTGAATCTGATTCAAAACTGTCTTCTCCAAATATGACTTTTGAAAAAAAATAATGAATTAAATTATGAATACTATATTCATTGCGGTACTCCTTTATATTGTGAATACTTAGGTTTTATATAAATTTATATATGTTTCAGTGAAGAATATGAAGAAGCTACCTTTATGGAAACACCAGTAATGTCAACGTACTTGCTAGCATTCACTGTGTCAAAGTTCACTTGTAGTTATGGAGAAAATATAACTGGTAACATTCCTCACAGAGTTTGCTCCAGACGAGACACCGAGTCTGACAGAGCTTTAGCTCTTGAATATGGTACCAAAATACTAAACACTTTAGGAGACTATCTTGGAATATCATACAGTGAGATGATGATTGGAAAAATCGACCAACTCGCCATTCCAGATTTCAGTGCAGGAGCTATGGAAAATTGGGGAATGGTGACATACAAGTGAGGAAATTTCGCTTTTACTATTGAATCTGGTGATAACAATATTGCCCTAACTTTAACTTTTCGTTATTAGAAGTCGTGAAACGTGAATTTCACATTCACCATCATAATGGTTCAATAACTTATATAACTTGAATATTTTTATAGAGTATTTATAGCTTCATCAGTTCGATTGGTCAATCAGAATTCTCTCATATAACAGTAGATAATTATGAGACAGTTTTGGTTGGTTATAGTCTCCAAACGATTCGACTGTAACTACGACAGTCATCTTCAGTGGCGTGGTCGAAGAACTCTTCTTGACGTGTCAGCTGAAACTGAAATGAACTGAAGTGAACAAGTTTCAGTTGACACAACAAGAAGACAACTTCGACCATGCCACTGAAGATGACTGCCGTAGTTGCTGTCGAAACGTTTGGAGATTATAACCAAAGATCACGGCAAAACCCGGAAAACAACCAAAACATTGACATCAGCTGTCAGCTACATTCCTAAATTATAAAAGTGATATAGCCAAAGCATTTGATTGTGTGAATCATAAAATTCTTTTACGGAAACTCAGTAGATACGGTATAACTGGAATAAGTCTCAAGTGGTTTCAGTCATACTTAGCAGAACGCACCCAGACCCAGATGGTCAAAACCACTTCTCACTGAAATGAAGGTAAAATTACTTGCGGCGTCCCACAAGGTTCGGTACTAGGCCCACTTTTACCCCTAATTTACATTAATGACCTATCGTCTATCAACATCCAAGGAAAATTTACTTTATTTGCTGATGATACTACAATTTTATGGCATGCTCCTGACAACCATACGTTGTATGAAGTTATTGAGAATGACATCACGGAAGTGAAGGACTGGTTTGACTCAAATCTCTTGAGCTTGAATTTATCAAGAACAAAAGTAGTGTTCTATTGTTGCCAGATTCCAGCCGTACATCTAAATAATATTCAAATTGACAATGTACGAACTTCTAAATTCCTTGGCTTGTTCAGTGACAATAATTTAAAATTCAACAAACATGTAGATACTTTGAAATCGAAACTCTCCTCTGGATGGACGCGCCAATGTATCAAACCAGGCAAATATTCAGCTTTAAATTACCGCTGCCTTATAGTTAAAGATTCCATTATTTACAACGGTCTGAAAATGTTCAGTCACCGTCCTCAAGCTATAAGAACCATGAATAACCTTAGAGCTCTTAAGAAAGAGTTGATAGAATTGCTTTCTGTGAGACCTTATTATAGCTTAGCAGAATTCTACGATGATAAACTTTAATTGAGAAGACTAACTGTAATATCTACGGTATTACACTTATTATCCTTCAGATGCTTGATTAATGAACTTTTGTTTGGCAAAGGTGTAATAGGAAATGGAGATTGCACCAAATTTTTAGGTGTACTCATACACAAAAATATTAAATTTGATGACCATGTTGAATAACTTAAAAGCAAGATCTCTCTTGTTTGCTATGCAGTGAGAGTGATTTCTAATGAACTAGGACCAACTACTGCTAAAATGGCATATTAGGCACATTTGGATTCTCACCAACGTTATGGACTAACTTTTTAGGAAATGTGTAACTCAACACTCCTCAATGAATTGCTCATTCTACGAAAAAGATCCGTTAAGTACATATATATCACTTACCAGTTTTTTCTTAGTAGTTTTTCCATTTTTCATGCAGAGGTAGACTTGGTTAATGGCTTGTTTGAGAAGTTTTTCATAGAGAATGTGATGAACCATGTCGTAAACTGAAATTTGTTTTTGTCAAACTTAATTCTTTATTAAATTTTTTTGTGGACATCGGAATACTGATGAGCATGTGGATTATGCTGCTGATTCATGCTGAAGAAGGCGATCAGAATTGTTGTGGATAGTTGTGTCTGTATGGGTTGGTTTGTGGTAAATCATGTTTGTTGTTGATTTTTGTAATTGTGAGGTCTGAGAAGTTAATCGAATTATTTGCTTCTAGTCTGTAAATTGTGAATTTTATGTTTTGTAGAGAATCAGCCCTTCTATACAATCCCTCTGAAACTTCCGACAGCTATAAACAGAGAGTGATAAGCATCATAGCTCATGAATTCACTCACATGTGGTTTGGTGATTTGGTAACTCTAGATCGGTGGGATTTTACCTTTTTGAATGAAGGATTCGCAAGATATCTCCAGTACTTCATTCAAACCAAGGTTGTATTCTTCATTTTACTCAATAGAACACCTGATATTTTTGTGTTACTTTTCAGATTCCAGAATTGAAGGAATTTGAAATGGATAAACAATTCATTGTTGAAGTACAGCAATCAGTATTTCAGACTGATGCTTTGAATACCTCAAACTCGTTAACTTCCACTGCCGAATCACCAGCAGAGATAGAAGGAAAATTTGGAAAAATCTCCTACCATAAAGGTAAATTTCCTTATTTTTTCGAAACTTTCAATTCAAAATCGTGAACTCTCGCGAGAAACATATATGGAAGTTGTTTACAATAACCAGAAGATACAAACGTGACAAAAATAGTAATCAACCAGGAAAAATGGGGAGTATCTGCAACCAAGTCACCAACTTAATTTTTCAGAACACAATTGGAATGAAACGGTTATGAGTTTGTAAAACATTTTCTTCATTTTCAGGTGCAAGTGTTATCAAAATGGTGGAAAGCCTGGTGCCAATGACTTTCAGTAAGTCTTTACAGGCATACCTTCAAGCTAAGTAAGTGGGAATCTTTCAAAATGAAATCATCAGATGTCACCTCAATCACCTTTCTGTGTTCAATAGGGTATTAATAATGCATGTTGGTGAAATATCTTGGCCATAACAAGTGGAAGCTTTGAGTGTTTTTAATACAACTCATTTCGTATATTTTTTGAGGAATTGAGTTATTCCTTTCTCACATTTCAGAAAATTTTCGTCTGCTGTGCCAAACGATCTTTGGACTATTCTCTCAAGCTATGTACCTATCGAAAATTTACCAGGAAACACTTCTTTTATCAGTGTTATGGAAAATTGGACAAACAAAGCCGGTTATCCTTTAGTTACAGTCACTGCCAATGGGACCGATGTCATATTGAGACAGGTACTTATATCATTACCATAATCATTCAATAAGAGATACTGAATTCAATCATAATTATCTTTCTTCAATTGACTTCAACTGTATCTTCAAAAAATGCAGATGAGACTACACTGGACTCCATCGTTTCTCATTTCTTTCCCCCTGACTGGGGGAAGCTGTAGACAACCTCATTATCATCAGTATTATCTTTCGAAAGGTAAGCTGGTGGGGTCATGTCCCCGAAGATCCGATACATCAGTTCATCAGTTGCTCGGGCAGCTGCTCTGAAGAGAATTGCTCCAATTCCTGCTCTCTCATAGTCACGGACCATGCAGAGAAGGGGATCCAAACTCCTGATGACTTAACAGGGTGTATTCGGTACCATTCTGTCATGTAGACACTTCAAACTCAAAAGTCCACGGCCTCCATTTTGCAAGGGGAAGTACAACCGTGTAACTGACGATTTAGGATGCAAACATCTATGAAGATGTATCATTTTCCGTGTCTTCCGGCACGCATATCTGTAGCAACAGCTCTGTATTTTCTCGACGAATGTGTAATCATATGTATCCAGTTTCCGGAGGTGCTACAGTTGTACCCTCGAGTATTTCTGAGCGCAATAGATAATGGCAAGAGTTAGATGCATATTATGAGAACTATTATTATCAATATCGTCATTATCACTCTCCAACAAACATCAACATCATCATTTGTAATATTCTCCAAAGTACGATGGACGTTGTTCACTGTTGATGTCAGAGGGAGCAGATGTTTGCCAACCCCAGAAAAACTGTGATACTCTCCTTCACCCGAAGAAAAAGAAATGGACGATTTAACGCCACTTTTTCGTCACGGGTGAGGTCATTCCATTTGGAACGGAAGTGCTATGTCTTGGCATTGTCCTCGATAAAAGAGTCACTTGGAAAAAGTTTTTCACACAGCCAGACTATCCCTATGGACATGTCGAAGGATTTGTGGTAGAACTTGGTGTTTAGGTCCAAAATAAATCCATTGGAATCATGTGATGATTGTCAGACTAATGATCACTTATGGTGCAATTGCCTGGTGGCCGAAGGCTTGACAGAAATCGGCCCAGGCGAAGCTCTCTGACTTACAGAGACTGGCATGTCTGGCTATCAGTGGTGCCATCAGTACCACACCGTCAGCGGCCATGGAGATCCTTCTAGATCTACCTTCTTGGTAGAATACAAACTCATATTCAACTTCTGAGGCACTGTTTGGAGCCTTTGGTATAGTAATGAACATTACTAGAGTTTTTTCCCATCAACAAACCGTTATTTCAACACCTCATCACGTGTATCGATCACCTAGTGATCGATTACCTCAACACGTCAATAAAAATAATCTCGGACAGTCAAGCGGCGTTGAAAGCTCATGGCTTCTACCAAGCAACGTCTAAATTGGTAGCAAATTGCAAAAAACCTAACCTAACTTAACGCAACCTAGCCTAACCTAACCTTACCCAACCTAACCTAACCCATTATTATGATTACAATGTCTTCCTGACCGATGTTTTTTCAAGGAACGCTTTCTATACCAAGGATCAGATGATACTCGATGGTATATTCCAGTAATTTATACCATATTCGATAGGAATAACAATGCAAGCAGATCAGTAAGAACATGGCTAGTACCTGGTAAAACACAAACCATCATTTCAAATGTTTTATCAAACGATAGTTGGATCATTGTTAATACAGGAGCAAGTGGTAAGTTATTCTACTCTACCTATATAAATATTGCTCATAATCAACTTCCATCATTTGTATTCTTATTGATGGTTTTTCTGTTTATTCATTGACGTGAAATATTTTCTATATAATTATTCATTGTCGTTTCAATAATAACTGACTATATAGTGACTTCTTCCTGAGTTGCTGCAATATATTTTTGGTGTGTGCAATCACAATTTTAGTAGAATTACGAACTGATTAGTAGACAACTTTCCTCAACAGAAAAACTGATATCAAGCACCTCAGTAGAGTTCACACTACGTTTTACTTGGTATTGAAGAAAATGTACATTAATTTCAAAATAATAACAGTAAGTCTACTTATATGTTTTCCTTAGTTTGTATACTAGTTATTTGCCAAGTTCTATATTGATAAATATCTTCCAAATTTTTCTCAATTTTCGTGAAAATTCGTGTCATGAAGTTATTTCATTGTTATCTGGTTCCAACAGCTGGTAGCAGTGTTTTCTCATTTGAGTTCAAGTTTCTCTTGGTATGTCATCACATATTCACTTTGTTGTTCAATGAATATTAATGGAGTTTTTTCCCAATACCAAACCGTTTATTCAACACCTCGACACGTGTTTCGATCACCAAGTGATCATCTTCAAGAGGAAGATCAAACTAATCATACTTACAAAGTTATCATCATTTATACCTTAGATACCTCTTCTAGGTATCTGCGTCTTGATCGTCTTAAATTAATTTCAAAGTCCAATCTTCCCAATGGACTTCTGGAACATATTCTTAACGTAATTGGTTGAGCCATTATTCATGAATCAAGTTCATGCATCAAACCAGGGGTAGCTAACAATTTCAGTCATTTCAATTTACAGGCTACTTTAGAGTACATTATGACACCACATTATATAGCAAAATCGCATCGGTGCTGCAGAACAATCGAAGAGTCATCGACAATGTCACCAGATCCCAAATCATAGACGATGTACTGAATTTAGCTCGAGCCAGAAAGTTTTCGTATCCGGAGGCCTTCAAGATGTTAGATTTCCTTAGAAATGAAACGTGTTACTACCCATGGCATTCTACTATTGAAGGTTTCAATTATCTCCTAACCAGGTTTGGAGAACAATCGATTGTTGGTCAGCAAGTGAAATCGATGCTATTGGAATTGATGCAGACGGTGAAGAATACGAATATCACGTTTGATAGCCTTGCTGGAAACAACCATATGCATAGTCTCAAGGTTGAGAAAATTTTAAGTACCAGTTGCAGACTCGGGGATGAGTACTGCAAGACAAAATCTATAGAGTTATTTCAAAAATACAAAAATGGAACAAGGTAATGTTAGCAAAGCAGGCATACTTTTTGACTGAAAACAATCAATATTAATAATGTTTCGCTTCTTCTATTCATTTCGTCTAATGACAATGTCTATTGAATAACCGAAACGAATTCATGTATTTTTCAGTATTCATAAGAATTTGAGAAACATGGTTTATTGTAACGCCTTACGATACAGTAACGATATCGAAGCAGACTGGAACTTCCTTTGGAGCAAATTGAGAAATGCTACTCAGGCAAACGAAGTTTATAACATCATTACATCTCTGGGATGCACGAAAAATGTTACATTACTGAAATAGTGAGTTATAAAGTTTTTGCCTAATTGAAAGAGCTGCCGATATCATGAGGATATATTTTCAGTTACTTGGAACAATCTGTGAACTCTTCATCTGGAATAAGAATACAAAATTTGCCAGACCTATGGGCTTCGGTATATACAAGTTCTACTGAAGGAGTGGACGTTGCTTTTACTTTCCTGACAGAAAAATACGAGCATATTCGGAAATAGTGAGTCAATAATGAAATATTGTTTCTTTTGTAACATTACATACGTTTCAGCTTCTCCAAGTCATCCAATCTTCTTCCTGGTATTGTTGACCGCTTTTCATCGGAGAAACAGATACAGAAAGTGAGTATAGTATAATTCATTCACTCGTGGATTTCATTCTTCAGGCTTTTCTGTTGATCGTATCCTTGAAAACATGAGAATTTGAAACTTGTGCGAGATCTCACCGAGAAAAATTAATCACACTATGGTTTATTATTTCCTTGGCGAAGGAGTATTTTCATTTCTCCATGGAGGAAAACTTATTAGCCTTGAATAATTACAGTTTCCATGTACTGGGGAGGAGCTTTGTCTCTCTGTCTCAGCTTTTTTGGTCATCTCATCCAGAGAATTATTGCGGAATTGATCTTTTCGATGTCCATTTTCAAAATAAAGTGATTTGAGACTCTATGACGATGACAACCCTCACTACTTGGATTGCTAGATACTTGTCGCTGTTATCTTGGAACTTAGGTAATCTGAAATGAGTGTGGAAGCATGTACTCTAAGCATATATAGGGTCAAAGCTACTCTTTCTATAGTCCTCAAGGCCATGTATTGGGGGGTCGAACAAACAAGATCATATGACCCGGACGTAGCTCAAGATCAAGTGTAGACGCCAAGAGGGTGATATTGAAGGTTGAGTAAGGAAATTTCCCTTGAATGATTTCAGTAAAAATAAAAGTTGAATGGTTGAGGTCACATGACGCAGTTCAAGATCATTCAAGGTGTAACGTGGCCCAAGGTCGTTTCAAGTAGTGGGGGGAGGATTTCGCATCGGTATAAATTAACTACTGATCTTTAATGGTATTGACGTTATTTCATACTGTCGAAATATTTAGCTTATTGCGCAATATTGCTTTCAATCTCCCACCCTACTCTAATCAACATATAGTTGCGGGTGTTTCTCGAATAAATCCAGCTGTTCTTTCAAATTTGTTTCTCCATCAATTTTCACTGACCTTTCTTATCTGACCAAGATTGAACTGATCATATTGATTTGAGAAAATTCTATATTCCCAATCTATTATCGCATAACTGTGTTTTTGTAAGCATAATAGGACATTGATATACTTTGGTGGACCCACCAATAATATCGCTAGTTTCGGACATGCCTTACACAGCATGTATTAATTTGGACAAGTTTATTTTGGATAATGAGGGTCAAACTTCAGTGTTGAATGGATCCGGTTCTTGCTCAAAGCTTTACATTGGTCAAACGGGAAGAACTTTTTCCCAACGAATGGAAGAACATATGAGCGGTTCATTGAATGGAAAGACCAATTAGAACTGAATATTTTTCTTGATTGAATTTGTTTGTCCAATATGTGAGCTGTTGGAAGTTAGTTAGTCCTTTATTGCATTTGTTTATACCTGAAGTCAGATGAAATTGTAAATTTTTATGAAGCACTAATTCTGTAGGATTATGTTATTGTGAACACACCTGTATATCAATTGAAATACCTACATACTGTCGTCAGTAAAGTCTGTATTGAGCGGAAAATAAACTTACGAAGAGTTTACCTAGTTTCAACGATTCAATTTGAAACCCCTTCATTAAAATTTGTTATTTTGATGTTGGTTTGATGTTATGGACGTTTTTTATTCATTTCAGCTTGAAGAATTCATCAGCGGTCAAAAAATAAATTCCACGATAAGGATTGAGTTTGAACANGTTTCTGTGTATTTGTGTTTTTGAATTGTTTTCTTTTCTCTTATTCTTTGAAGTGCTATACATACCAGATTTTTTAACAAGCTTTGTCAATAAGATTGTATTTTCTTGGACAATAGTTTATGTCTATTCTATTCTAAGTAGTGCCTCCGTAGCCGATGTCCTGGAATCCAAATGTGATGACGAGACAAGTGTGCTGTACTCAGCAAAGCAATATATCGGATTCTTGGTTTTTCAAATAAGTCGTTGATATACAATAAAAAGAGGGTAGAAGACAATATGGATCTCCGGGGAATACCAGCGTTGATGGTGAGCGTTGAAGTATTTGAGAGATGATATCCATCTCTCCATGTCTTTTTAAATAGGCGCTAGATTTGAGATGATATTATATTTTCTTGATTCAAAATAGTTCATCTTCACAATAATATAATCAAGCGAATGATGTCGCTGAAAGGCCAAGAAATTTGATTTCTTTGTTGAAAAAAGTGTGATTTTCTGGTGGAACATGGCGATGTTGACATAAAGTAATAGTTTTTCCAATAGAGATACGAATTTCAAAGCAACCTATTATCTTCTTCGAAAGAAATACTTTTTACTGTGTATATTTCAGAAATAACACAGGACCCATAATAGATCCCTGTGGAATGAACAATTGAAGTTCTCAAGAGTTGTTCCACTCTACAAGCAAAAGGGGTGTAGAAAGGAGGCCAAAGAAAACTGCGAGAAGCAATATGGAGTGGGTGTCTACCGTCCAGAGTGATTTGTATATTTATTTTGGAATCGCCGAATCTGGCAGTTCTGCAATCAGTTCTGGGATATTACTACAAATCGTCATACCTGTCATACTCGTCATGAAAATTGTAGTTTAAAACTGTGTTACGTCAATGATGTTGAAATTAGCCATTTGTGAAACTTTGTGATTTAATAATTTTGCTGCAATAAATATTTGAACTGTACTACAATAATAATTTTCTGTTGTTCGGGCAAAGAGAGTCAGGTTGAGATTCTCTCGTAAGCAGTTAGCATATATTTTTTATAGTTATCTTAAAACAAACATACTGAAGTAGAATTAACCTAGTCGTATCCCGTGAAATATATATTGGAACGAATAGTCTGTTTTAAACCGTTTATACCACAAAAATGCGTCGTTTTTCATTAAAAAAATGCCAATTCATGTACATCCAAACAATTGAGACTCTTGATATTTGCTGTTAGAATCATCAGACTGGATACGAATAAGATATTTGCCCCAACGATTTACCTTTCTTCTAGTGGAGTTTTTGAATACATCTGTAGATGCAACCTCGATATTTATAATACAAAAAGGGTTGATTAGAACAGTTATTGGTTGATGTCATACAGATTCAGCAGGGGCTATTTTTCAAACATAAAACAGACACCGTCAGAAAATCATACATTTACGTCAGGAAAATATAAATACCACTGTATCACAACCAAACAAATGTGCATTGGACCATATTCCCATGTCACCGAAATCATATAGCATGAATGAGTTGAAAAATGTTCTGAAAAAATTATTGCACCAACCAGTTTTCTATACGCTCGATTATATCTTCAAAAGTAATCTACAAATTGCCAACTAATCAATATTCATTCACATTTTCATGCATGCATACCTAATCACATAGAGTTCAATGTGACAATACTAATGACTGTACATCTATATGGATATTCTATAAAAAATATCACTGTTAAGTACTTCATAAATGACTTTCACAAAATACGAAAACTATGAACAAATACCTCATTTCCACCCCTTTTATTCACCCTACACTCAGCGTTCGTATAAAATGAGAGAAATAATTTAAGTGACCCACTTTTTGAGTTCATTGAACAGTATTCGATATTCCATATGGTACTAATAACTTTCCAAAAGCGAGCAATTCCAGGAATGAAATGGCGCAATATAAAAGCAAAAGTAATTAAGGATTTGTCAGCCCCATGTAAGCATCAAGATTTGTGTTGCCGCTCTCCAGAAGTAGAGGCAGGATTCAGATGGCTAGAGTAGCGATCCCAAAGATATACTGATGAACTTGAACTTTTAAATGCTTTGAAAATAATTTTTAGGTCATAGAGAATGTAAAACTGTTAGATTTTATTTTACGAAGAATACTTTCACTTTTGAATGTTACGAAGTCGGACTTCCCTTGTCCAAAAAGTGTTGAAGGGTTGGAAGTCTACCAAATTGGGAAAGTTTAAATATATCTTGAAATTTCGGAAAACACTGAAAATAATGATGAACTGACTGAGATATTTCATTAAGTTAGTTATAGCAAAAATAATGTCAATGAATTAAGCAAAAATAATAGCCAAAATTGTTAAAAATCCTCATTTATGAAAAAAAAAAACAAATGATTGTGACCAGAAATTAAAATAAATTGTTAATGGGCTACCTAACCTACAAACGACAAGTTGAAAGTTAGGATCTTGGTAATTCTCAGCTCGCAGAAGATTTGACTTCTGATTGATGGGGCTACAACTGTTTAACTGTTTCTCCAGACGATTATAATACACTTAAATCTTCTGAACGTATAAGAAATATTGATAGCAATATTCTTTTGGGAAACAAACTCTTTCGAAGGTTCTAAATAGATGGACACCCCTCAACTCATTGTATGATTCATTTCTCAAACATACATACTGTTTGCGATTTTTAAGAAACCTTTATTCCACTGTATGTTTCATTAAGTGGAAAGTAGAACTACTTGGTATTCATATCATCCCACACGTCGTTGGGTGGCTAAATTCACTCAACATCAACGTGAATCTGGAACGACAAGAATGGTCCAGCACAAAGGAATGTTTTCTGTAGAATTTGTTTTTCGAAATGTTCGTTCTGAATGCCGTCAGCGGTTCTAATATTAAAAAAAATATGCCAAGAGCCTGGAAGGAAGAGAACAGGAATGTTGTCGAGACCATCCGCGTTGGACTATTCCATAATGAAGCGATTTGTTCGCTGTTCCATTCGACAAGCGTGTTCATTAGGTCGATTAAGTCTTAGGGACGCGCCATATACAATTACACACAACACACAACACATAAGCATCCGCCGTGCCAAGCTCTGGGGTGATGGGGAAACATTCCTTCGAACCTACTTCTAATATAGTACAGCGGAGCACCCCTGAAAATGTTTCAAAAACGAGGATGAAGTTCATTCTAATAGGTATATGGAGTATTGTGGACAAAATATAAATAAAATGGCCCATAATGCAGAACTTTGTGGTACCCCGTGAAAAATCTTCATTTTGTCAAATGTTTTGTTATTGCCCACCGTTTATTGACTTTTGTCAGACGAATTGATTCCCACATTGTTTTATCAAGATGGAGAAGTGGAAATCCAAAACATATCTTCCCTAAATATCATTTTTTTGTTTTTTTTTTCGACTAGACTCACCTTGTTTCCACTGGAAAGGTGAACGACATCCTCTAATTTTTAATTCGGTGGCATCTCCTGGTGGTTCCAACATTGCAGGTCTACCCAACACATTTTTCACATTTTTCATGTACACAGGTCCATTGCCTGATTAACCGCTGGAGCTTTTTCGGTAATTAAAAGGGCCAACCTCCGGTTTGGAATTTGGCAAAACGGTCAAATTAGACATTTAATTTAGTATGGGAAAATGGAAAGGTGGGTAGTGTACTTGTACCAATCGGTGAGATGAATTAGACGAACCGGCAGCCCATTAACGTAGATGTTCTAATATAGTGAAAGAGCAATCATTGAGCAGCACTATTATCGTCAAAGGTATTTGCCATTGCGATTTTTCCCCTTTTGAGATCTTTCAGATCACTCTTATGGGTTTCAGAGTGAAAAAAATACTCAAAAATGTTGTCAACAATAATGAAAACTATGTATTTTTTCGAAACACATTAGTAATGTTTCTTACTGAAAATTAAACAAAGCCGAATCGATAGAGAATCTGTTGAACTCCGAAAAGTTACAGCGTAATATAAATCACTGAATAGTCCAAGTTGTTAATAACTTGTCGTATATTCATAAGTTGAAACATTCAATCGGAAAAAATTATAATAGGGGAGCCCAAGCAGGGATTTTGGGATTTACTAAAGCGCGGCAGATTAATATACAGGGGGATACCTTGTATCCGGTTAAGTACCTCCACCAAATATGAGCCCCATATATAAGGCCGCCTGTGAGTGATAAAGGATCAGATTAGTAAAAAAAAAAAATTGATTATCAGAAATTCTCGAGCACGTCAGATTAAGGTAGGGTGAGTTAATTACCTGCTAAAAAGTGTATATTTCAGTAATCTGACAATTTGAGAGTGACGTAAAGAAAGGGGAGGGCAGCAAAGTTGTAAAAAAATAACGTCATTTCAACATTCTCGAGCGTAGCTAATTTTTTTTTCATTTTGAAGGAAATAATTCAAGGATAACGAAAAATATATAATCTGACGATTTCCGCGAGCCGAAATAACAAAAATTCGTCGATAAAGTTTAATGGCCGCGAGTTTGCGTCAGATCGAAATCGTCAGATTATTGAATGAGAGCTTTTTTTTGTTACACTTAACACCCCCTTAAAATCTGACGCGCTCGATTGAATTTTTTTTCTTTTCACTTTTAATGCTTACGTAAAACCACCCACATCATGCAAACGATCAGATTAACATACCAACTTTATTAAAAATACGTAGGACATTGATGCTATCAATATCTGACCCGCTCGAGTATGTCCATGCAACGATATTTTTTTACATATTTAAAAATCTATAGCCGCTTCCCCCACCGATGAAAAGGTATATATTATATAACATTTTTTCTTTTTATCATCTAAGCTTTGCAACCTTATATGTCTCAATGACGCTCGAGTAAATCTCCATTTTGCATCGTTGGCTCCCCTGCTATTATATATCCATACTGTTTTATTTAGTGGTTGACGTTTCGAAAAACAATCTTCAACATAATCGTTCTGCTAATAGAAGTTTATCGGTCTTATTCAATTTTCTAGAGAAAGAATTCACCAAATTGTTTTCCACAAATGGTTGATT